GAGAGAGAGAGAGAGAGAGAGAGAGAGAGAGAGAGAGAGAGAGAGAGATGCAGCACTGCTACTGCTGAGATCTCCATTTTGCCAGTTAATGGGGAAGATGTATAGAAGGATATCCCACTGGATAAAGACACTCATAACACTGGACAGGAACATATAGCTATATATATTTCATGAAAGATTAGTTTCATTCACTAGAATTATCACATAATTTTTAAGATAACTGAAAAGCAACTTAGACTTTTTACATTACCACATCATGAATTCTAAATACTGGATTAAAGTTTAACAAACCTTCTCGTTTTCTCTTTTTTTTGACAGTCGACTATATCTGGTAATCGCAGCATCATGATCTGAAAAAACAAGTTCTACAATATTTAAACAGTAGCTACAATGATTACAAATGTTTAAGGCAAAAAGCAACTACACTTCAGTGAAGCAGTAATTCAAGCAATTGGGCTAATTTTGCTTTTTTCAACAAAACAATAAAATCTGTTTCCAATAATTTCAGAAATGTTTTTATCATTTCAAGATAAACAAAATCTATTATCCTGATGCACTGATTATATCAATACGATATCCTCTTTTTATAATGTCCCATTAGAACAAGAGTTTATTTATCATATTTTTTTTCCCAATTACCTTGTATACAGTTATCTAGGGTTAGTTTCCCTTTTAATTTTTAGAGTGAAAAATAGCTTTTCTTTAAATAGCAAAATTAGTCTTTGGAGACAGAAATTCCTTCATAAAATGCTAATCTTTACTGTTTATACTATTATAATCATGCAACATCAAATAAAAAATAAACCATGACATTAATTTCTAAAGCATACTTTACCATTGCTGGAGATCTGAAAAACCTCTTTTAAAGTCAGAATTTCTGAAATGAATTTAAGAAAATGTGCAGTGTTACTGTAGTTCTGCTGTTTTAATATAAGCTGAACAAAATTTGGCTTATTTATTATAGGTCTTCAGTTGGCCTGCATTTCAGGGACCACATGAATTGTTTTGTAGTAAAAAAAATAATTCCTTAAAATTATGGGATTATATACAATGACTGAGCTGTTTCTTCCTCTGTTTTCTCCTACACTTCTCTGAAAAGCCCTTCACCCAAAGTCAGAAGCTGTCTTTTAAATGCCATGTCATTTGAGATAGTAAATGTGCTGTGGCAGAACCTAACTATATGATTTTTTGAGGGATTCATAGGGTTTGGGCAGAGAAATACAAAGAATTTTTAACAACTAAATGCATCCCATAGGTCAAAACACAATAGCAGTACAATTCTACTCAAATTTAACCCTATTACTTCAGTAAAACATGCACAGGATTACAGTTTCATATTTCAAGAGGATTAATACACACAGATTACTAATACATAAGTATACAATTCCATTGAACTCAAGGGACCGGAGCACTCCATTCTGCTCAAACATACTGAACAGGTAGAGATAGATCCCCCCCCCCCCCCGTTTTCTGCTCTCCACCCATTCATCTTTTGGGGGGGGGGGTTATCGTATAGATATATTCTTATTGTGTTCTTTTTCATTGTTTACTTTATTGTTCTATTATCTTCTGTTCTGTTTACACTCTTTTTATTTCTTCCTTTTTATTGTTGTAAGTCACCTAGAATAGCCTATTTGTGAAATAGGCAGTAAATAAATTTAACAAATAAAATAAATAATAATTGGAAACAAGAGGTCCCTCAAATAACCAGACCCTATGCTTTATAGGTGGCAACCAGTACCTTGAATTGCCCCCAGAAAGCCACTGACCACTGCAGTTTGTGCATATGGGTGTAACATATTTTAGAGCAGGCTTTTATGTAATATTTACTGTGATTTTTATTATTGCCTGTTCACCGCCCTGAGTCCCGTAAGGGAGATAGGGCGGTATATAAATTTAAATAATAAATGAATGAATGAATGAATGAATGAATAAATAAATAAATAAATAAATGAGATATATATTACGTTTATGTCACTGCATTTTGTACCCATTGTAGTTTCTGGATAGTCTATAAGGGCAACTTCATATAGAGCACACTGCAATAATCCAATCCTGAGGCAACTAGAATATAAATGGCAATCTGAAGGGCCGCCTGGCTGAGGAAGGATGCAAGTGGCACACAAAATAAACCTGTGCAAGGTTTCACCTGGGCATAGCAGATGAGCAGCAGCTGGGAGTTCAGGAGAGTTCCCCCAAATTGAGTACCAGTCTTTCCAAGGAAATACAGTTCTTTCCAAGAGCAATGATGGAAAGGCCTCCACCAAAGGGGCCACTTAGTCTATTTTATTTACCCCATTTTTCAGCCCCTAAATGGATGGATGGATATAGGTAGACAGATAGACAGACAGACATGACATAGGGATTGGCAATGTAACCACTCCAGATCTGCTCACTATTTCTCCCAGCAGCTCCCATTATCAGTCTTGCTGCCTTGAGACTGCTGGAAGTTGTAGTTCAGCAACTTCTGCAGGGCAATCACTTAAACACTCTAACTTTTATTATTCCCTTTTTCCTAAAATTGTTTTCAATGAGACAAATGTTCTTACATTTGCATTAGACTTCAGGAGGCCACTATAGATGAAATAAATATTAACTATTCTTATATAAGACATTGTCCAGCAATCTGTTATCTTTGTGACAACAATTATTGTACCTTTTAGATCTCTTTCTTTGAACTGTGTGATGGGAAACATCATGGCATCTGCTAATTGAGTTGATAGTACCGCATGACAAGAACTGAGCTAAGAAGAAAAAAAACAATTAAGTACACAATGTTGCCTAAAAATATAAACATTTCTCATATTTCACTGTTGTTACATATGTTAACAATGTTAATTGAAGCATGGGGTGAAGAAGCAGCAGAGCCTGGCATTTTTATATCTGTTCTTTTTTGCATAAGTAGATAAAAATATTATTTAGCATTATTTTAGCCTGATGTAATAATTTATTACATTCAAATAAGACCCAAAGAAGCCAATATGACAAACCATGATATAACTTTGGTTTATAATCCTAATTTTTAGGCAGAATATGTCTGCATTTTGATATCCCCATTGAGAAAGGGTTGGTGCCTGCCATTAGGATTATGCTACTCAAAAAATGGTTTGTTGGGATCACTGTGTATTGAGAGAAAGGGAGATGACCTTGACAGCAATATGAAAGAACTAATATATAAGCAAATAGGGTTGAACATTCCTTAAATCCTAGGAAGCAAGATTGTATTTGGAAGAGATCCAGACAAGCTCTTCCCTGATTCACTGAAGTATAGAAAGAATAGGAAGTAAAATATAATCAAGCTTATAAGATTTTATTATTATAGCCTATCTCAATAAAATATAATTCTTATTCTCTTGTAGAGTTGATGTTATGGCCTAGTCTACATAGTGTAACTGACAGTTTCCATGGTGTGAAGGTTGTGGACATCACATGTCATGTGTAGAACCTGCTTGACAATGATGCAAAAGAGGCAGCAATCACAGCTCACGCTAGCAGCAGTGACATTGGAATGTATAATTAGCCAGTTCTGGAAACCAAATTTAGACTCCTAAGTAGAAGATCAAAACCAGGAACACGAAGAGTACAGTCTTAGAAATGCTGTCTGTTCCATGTGTGCAGCCAACCAGATAGGCAGAGCTCAGAGATCTCAATTCAATTACGGCAGGATGGCTCCAGATGGAGATGCTTAGATTTGTTAGTCACTGGGAAACACTTCAAAACAAAACAAACCTGCGTAAAAGGAATCTAGGCTATTGGCACACAAAATCTAAAATGTGACAGACCAGTTTTTAAATTGATTCCTGGAAGGAAATCAACAGGTAGTGTAGAGGTCCCCAACCTTTTGGGCACCAGGGACCGGTTATGTGGAGAGAGGTTTTTCTGTGGACCGGAGGGTGCGTGGTTTTGTGTGCTGCCTGCATCCTGTGGATGGGGCTTTCCTTATTTGCGCAGACTGGTTGCTGACATGCTGCAGCCCGGTACTGGTCCATGGACTAGGGGTTGGGGACCCCTGGGTAGTGGGTAACAATCAATTCAGAATGGTATAAACATTTTAAAAAAAAATAGGATGAACATGGATGCTGAGTGGTCATGAAAACCAGAAGATAAAATGAGAATAAGACAGCCATGAAAAAAACTTAAGCCAACAACTCTTCAAAATTAAAAAAAAGGAACAGGATGCATAGTTGTTTCAATTCAGTGCTAGAAATCTGCAAAGAATGTAATTCTTGTAATAATGGGGAACTTTGATTACCCTAATATAAACTAGGTATATTTGTGCTTAGGTTATGACAAAGAGATCATAATAATGATCCCTTAGAACAGCTGATCTTGTACCCAAGTAGAGGGAAGGCAAGCCTAGATTTGATTATAAAGGGTATTATGGTTTAAGTATTGTGGAACTGACAGGAAACAATAATCATAATACAAACATACAAACAGAAAGCATACAAAAAGAAAGCTGCGCTATCTGCAAAATCTAGGCACTTTGATTTGGAAGCTAAGTAAAACTTTGATCCTGTATGGGGCAACATTTGTGCAGATGGAGGTGATATGTAACAAATCTCTCCTCCTGAACTCATGGCTTCTGTGTGAACAGCAAATACATTTGCAAAGTTACATCTTGTGTACTAATTATGGACAGTTCAGAAGTAGAAGCCTTTACTCATTTCATTGTTACTCATTCCACTGTCACTTTGTGGATGGATTATCCCAATGTATACAGAATGGCAACGTTTTCTGAGAGCCACAAAAAAGGATCTTCTGAAAAGCATTTGGGAAGTAATGAGATTATATTCCCCTGAATAGTGAAGCCTCAGATTGATTGGCTATAATGGCATTATTTCTGTTTTTTAGTCTTTGATTTTAATATTGTAAACTGTTCTGTCTTTAGAAATGGAGTGATATAAAGGTTACATCCATGGAAAATAGGCTGGTAGATTTTTAGAAGGGAAGACTTACCTCATCTATCACTTTGGCAAACTGCTGAAGAGTAGAATTCATAACTTCATCATCACCACCCAAAGGAAAGCGCTACCAAAACAAAACCCGACTACTTTTTAAATTCCATATTTATTGATTTTTTCACTCTAAAAAATCACAGTAACATTCCAAAGGCCCAATAACATCTACATATTTAACATTGCTAGAAAATAGAGAATCTCAGAGCACTGTAAGTTGCTAATGCCTGTTAAATTTATATATATCGTGTTGTTATATTTCAAAGGTATAGAAAATACCTGTTGGCTAGGGAAATTGTGCGCGTGCACTCACACAGACACATTCGCACATCCACAAAGTCTAGTAAATCATGGTGTTGAATTAAAATATGACCTTTTGATAAAAAAAAAACATTTGTCTATTTATGGCAGTTTTAACTTATTTTTATCTGCTTTCCCCTTTCTGTGTTTCTATTTGTTATTTTCTGGTTTCTGTTGTTATGGATAGATAAACCTCTCATGTTTTAATTAGTCCATGCATGTTTTAATGTCTTATTTGTTTGTAAGCTACCAAGAGGCATTTGATTGTTGCAGGATAGATATGTGATAAATGTGTGATCTTAATAATAAGAACTGAGCAGAAATAAAGTGTAAGAGTTCTTGTAAGAATAAGAAAGTGGAAAAATGAATTTAATTTCTATGTGCTAAGCTACTGTTAAAACATATAGGAGGAATTTATATAAAATGCTACAAACTGGGCAAAAACAGGTTAGGGCAGTCTGTAATTAATTCTCAATGCTGGAGAATCCAATCACTATCCCGATATGTTGTAAAAATCAGGCTGCCACATTAACCCATTCAATTTGGATCAGAACACAGCATTTTCATTTTATAAGTGATTCTACCTGCTTCTCATATTCTTTTAGAAGCTTCGAAGTCAAATGTGTTGCCGCACTGAGTTCATTCTGAAAAAGAGAATTTATTCTGATTTTAAAAAGATTTTTCAAATATAAATGACAACAGAAGTACAATATAAAATAAATTAATTAGAGTTAAACAGCGTTTCTTTAACTAAATGTATATGCTTTTGTAACACAATTATAATTTCCCATTTTTAAAATGGAATGATTGCAGACAGAGTCATAGAATAGCATACACACTTTTAAAACAGTAAGCATGCATTTATCTAAACAAACAAAAATTAATCAAATTCCCAGAATTCTGAATGACCTATCACTCCTAATAGAAAATAAAATCACTCTCTCTAATAGCAAAAATTAAACTGCACTAAAAGATTTGGAAGTAAAGTCAACAAGCAAAAAGAAGAGTGCTGCATATCTGTAGGATCCTTAATCTGTGCAGATTAGATTCAAAATTGCTTACAGAAGAGAGAAAGTTTTTAAGAGTACATGCAAATGTAGGTTTTCATGCAGGAAGCTAAAGGGAGGCCACAAATTATCAACATTATCTTAAACTTGCACACAGCTTAATGATAGGCTGTTTTTGTGAGATAAAAAAATATTTCCTTGTTAATGACATATCTTGGGACATATATTCAGCATAAATCATCTTATCCTTTGGTTTACCTGTTGGGCAATCATAAAGGCTGACTGCTCAGGAGATAAATTAGACTGTTGCAGTTAGGCTTAAAGTGGGGTTTCCAATTTGATGTTAAGATTTATTAAGAATCTGTCCAACATAACCATATTATGCAATACATATAACAACTTAAATTATTGCATAAAAATCCTTACACCTATATATATTCTTGTTAGAAACTTCTGAAGAATTTATAAGCTATTTATTCATGTTATTTGTAAACAATTAACATGGAAATATTAAAGGAAAAGTGTATTTCTTTTTTTTTCCTTTTCATTTTTTTTTTTGACATTCACATATATTTCCAACCAGCTACTAAAATCCCAGGAATTAAAATTTGGTTCCAGATAGTCTTCGATTTACAACCACTCATTTAGTGACTGTTCAAAGTTACAATGGCACTGAAAAAAAATGGCTTATGATCATTTTTCACACTTATAACTGTTGCAGCATCCCCATGATCACTTTATCAAAATTCGGATGCTTGGCAACTGGCCTATATTTATGATGGCTGCAGTGTCCCGAGGTCATATGGTCACTTTTTATGACCTTCTGAGAAGCAAAGTCAATTGGGAAGCCACATCCACTTAACAACCATGCTACTAATTTAACAACTGCAGTCATTCACTTAATAACTGTGGCAAGAAATGTCATAAAAAGGGATAAAATTCACTTAACAACTGCCTTGCTTGGCAATGGAACTTTTGGGCTCAAAAGTCAACAACTACCTGTATAATCATATCAGTGATAAAAATGTGGAGAAATGATTTAAGCAATTAATTAAAGACGTAAAATGTCAGTTTAATGGACACGTAGTATTTAAGCCACGTATCGAAATATGTTGACCAACTATATAGACCTTTAACGTCGTCGTAGAAGAAGTTTATGTGGGTCGTTTCTAGCACAGATTTTTCTTTTATTGTATTTAAAATATTATAACGTTCATGTGATAACGTCGATGTAAATCATTTCTTTTATTTCATGTATGGGTAAGACAGAATCAGAATTCAAAACATTTCTAAAAGTTACCTGGCAGAAAGCACTTTTTAAAGTCTATATGCATTAAAACAAAGTATGCTGGCATGGTAACAGAATACTTAAGTTCCTTTCAATAAAGTAGTTCATTTACTATTCTTTTTATGACCAACAATGATAGAGCATAATAATTAAATATTTGAGCTTTACGTTTTTGCCAGTTATAAAAATTTAATACTATACAGTTTAAATTTATTTTATATTGAACTTGAAATCTAGATACAAGATAAAATTTCCTTTGAATCCAGCTCTATACTGCTTACCACACAGATATGTCAGAGTGCTGTTTCTTAGCTAAAATAAATTAAAAAAATAAATATATTCCCTAAATGATAAAGTACAACTCAAGTTAAGCTTTACAATATTAAAATACCATTTAATGCTAGCTTTTCAAACTGCTCCTCACTGACTTTTGTGGAAACTGAACAGTAATAGAATAAGAGTACTGTCCTTTTACAGATAGATAGCTGGTTATAAATACTGTAGAAACCGGAGATAGCTAAAAGAAATCCTTCCAAGAATCTAACAACAGTTTATAGAATTTACATTTGTATGAATAGAATGAATAGACAAGAAGTTTTCCTTTTAAATTCTCATTAACCAATTGATAATGATTCAAGATACTAAGTATATTTTGGGAATGAATACATATACTGTGAATTCCTAGTTTTTTAAACCTTAAAAAGTCTTACAGAGAATAGGATCCTCAGGGTTCTCTGAAACAGAAAAACTAAAGTGCCTCTCTTCAAAGACAATTTACATTTCCAGTTGTAAGACAATCTTCAGGAGGCATTCCTTTGAAATATTTTATTTGGGCTGACCACTCTAGGACATAGAATACTGAAGTAGAGGGGGTACACATAATGTAATACAGAGAGCTTTGCTAAATAATGTTGGCTGGTATTTCCAGGGACAACTGTTGTCCCAATTATGGAAATTACAAACAACTGGACTAATTAGATAATTGGCCCTTAGCTAGTTTTAATGCAATTTTAAATAAATTATATTTACAGGATTACAGGAATTTCCACTTTCTTAAAAGCAACAGAACTGGGGTGCAAAAATCCACCAAACAATAGATTGCATCAAAGAGATAAAGACAACTTTTAAGTTTGCAGCTAGATCTGAAATCTCTACCTTTCTATCCATACAAGCAATCACATTTAAAGTACATGCGTAAATTTCAATCTTTGCTTTTAATAAATGATTGAAATAATTAACTTCTTGAATTCCTTTTTCAAATTGAAAACTCATTCTGTGCCTTGTGAAACCAAAATGACATCATTTACAAACATTAACAAAATATCAGTAGGCTTGGGGAGATCCCAAAATTTGCCAAAGTATTAAAAAAGGCATTTTTAAGGGAAATATTTTTTAAAGAGCAGGAGAAAATTAAATACAGTAATGAACTCAATGACAATATTTTCAATAATCAAAGCCTACTGAAGATCTAAGTGGTGGGGCGCAGAGGAAGAAGAGTGGAGAAGCAGATGGAATGGAATATTCCAGAAAAGGACATGACTTGCTGGCTTGTATTTTAACTGGAAGCATCCCATACTGCAATATTCTTGCAGTACTGCAAGTCTTATACTCTGCTTTTCTGTTTATACCGATGCTGAGGAGGTGTTTAGAGATATAGAACATATATAGGGAGCAACTTCTGCAGAATCTAACTAGGATTATGAATTGCATGCAGCACCTAGGTGTCTTCAGCAGAACAAATAGTATACTCAGAACACTTGAAGTAGTAGAACTTTCCCTGGATATGTTCTTGACCAAGAAAAAGTTTTACACTGCACTGCTGTAATCTTGAACAATGCTGTGGAACAGGTACAATATACCACAGCATGGATGGTGTCCTTGGCACACAAAGAACTGAATCAGTGTCATGGTTATTTTAGCAGATAAGACTTGAAGCTGATTATATCAACTTGGAGTTAAAACCTATTTTACCTGTTCCTAACAGGAGGGGAGGCAGGACACTTTATATTATAGCAACCAAATGATACTTAATTTCTTTTTAACATAAAAACAATATGTTTTTGAATAAAAATATATTAGCAACATTTGCATAACAAAGTAAAGCAAAAATCTGGATCTAATGCTTGAACACACTAACTAAACTTTTGAACAAGTGCAACAAAGGGTAAAATGTATTTACTTCTGCATTTATTATCTCAAATCTGAATATCTGAATTTAAAAGTGATAAATATTAATATGATAAATAAGTCAAATCTATTATCAATAATACGCAACACAAGTGTTAAGTATTTTTCTGGAATCTTTCAAGTTCCACTAAAGCAAATAAAAGGTAATCAGGGAAAGGTTCCTTCCCTGTAGAGATCCAATTGCTGAATCTGAATTGTTGTAAACAGTGTGTTAACTTTGATCTCAAGGAGTGTTTTAAATGGGCAGCTTTAAAAAAATTGGAGTTGTATGCATATTTACTAAAATAATGTCTTTAAATGATCACTGGCACTTGCAGAAGAATATGCTATTAAAAACTGGGTTTTAAAGAATTCTCAAAAGTGGGGGAATGTAAAGATTAACAGAAGAAAGATGTAAAGAGCCGAATATTCAGGGCATTATACCAGTATATTTAAAAACTGAACCCAATCCCACAATAAAGAATATTTTACCAAAGCTGCATCTATCTTGCCTATCAATATAATCGCTATAGCTAAGACCATAAGAAGACTGAAAAGTGATCCTCAGATACAGTGCACAACAGATCATAGGAAGTTTTTAAAATATTTTCCTACTTCATTTTTTGCAGCAATTGATGGGATACTGGTCAATACAGGTGGTCCTAGACTTACAACAGTTTAGTTAGTGATCAAAGTTCTAACAGAACCGAAAAAAGTGAATTATGACCATTTTTCACACTTACAACCGTTGTAGCATCCCCATAGTCACATGATCAAAATTCGGAACCTTAGCAACTGATTCATATTTATGACAGCTGCAGTGTCCCGGGGTCATGTGATCACATTTTGCAACCTTCTGACAAGCAAAGTCAATGGGAAAGCCAGATTCACTTAACAACCATGTTACTAATAACTGCACTGATTCACTTAGCAACTATGGCAAGAAAGGTTGTAAAATGGAGCAAAATTCACGTAACCAATGTTTCACTTAGCAACAGAAATTTGGGGCTCAATTGTGGTCATAAGTGGAGGACTACCTGTACTTCATAGGAGTATGACGCACTCCTATCCAGGCACAGTTACCAACTTTTAACGTTGAAACACCTCCGAAGAATTTTACACATCTTCACGATTTCTCGGAGAATAAGTACAACAGAAATAATTTCATAATCATAATCGTACCTTACATTCAATCCTAAATATTCAGAGACACTTAAATGTGCTAATTACAAATAATTACGCATACAGTACTTGGCAAATGCAAACAGGTTTTAGTGGCAGACAAGTTTATTAATGCTTGATACTTCAAAGCTACTGACAAAAAAAAGCATCCGACTGAATTCGGGTGAAGGAGGAGGGAGGGTGTGCCGGAGAATCTGAAATAATTGCACAAGGTAATTGTGTACGATCAATGCTCCCTTAACTTCGGCAGAAGTAACAAAAGTGCCAGTGAAGCGCTGCGAGCACCCCTCCGCCGTCTCTCCCACACCCGTCCCCGCAGAAAAACAGCGGCGGCTCCCTCTTGCTGCTCCGCAACCTTTTTCAAAGGAACCCGCACCTTTTACAGGCGACATCAGGTAGCGCAGACCCGCACCGGCCCTGCCGGTTTTTAAGGCGGAGCCCTGACCTCCCCGCGGAGGGACCCGTAGGAAAGACGGGGGTTGCTCCGCGTCTTCTCCCCTCGCCCGCCCGGATGGCTCGAGCCCTTCTCGGCTGGTGACGGCCTCCGAGCCGCGGCGGGACGAAGGAAGCCTCCTCCTCCCCCCGGGCTGGAAGGGGCAGAAGGCGCCGGGCTCGGCCACCTGCTGCTGCTGCGCGGACCCCTCACCTGAGGACTGTCCTCCAGCGCCTCTTCGATAGGCAGCTTGTCTATCCCGGGCATGTCGGCGGCTGAGTCTTTCCCAGGCCAGGCCGAACCCTCACCGCACCCAGCCGACGGACGTGCTCCCGCCTTCCACCGCCTTGCTCGGCGCACCCCGACAGGCCCGCTCGGCTCAGGAAATCCCGCCTCGGCGCTTCCCCGCGACAGCCCGTCCCGGACACCCAGCAGACGTCAGTGAGGCCGTGCATGTTCCTATTGGCTGGAAAGGCGGCCAGTCTGGCTGGCGAAAAAAGGGGCGGGTGCCTGTCAGCCTGGCGGGGTTTTGGGAGGAGGGGGCGAGGCGGACACTTGTGGGGCTTTGGTCCTGTCGGAGGGCATTTTCTGGAGGGCGTAGAGCAGGGGTAGGCAACCTTGGCTCTTTTATGACTCATGGACTTCAACTCCCAGAATTCCTGAGCCAGCTATGCTGGCTCAGGAGTTCTGGGAGTTGAAGTCCATGAGTCATAAAAGAGCCAAGGTTGCCTACCCCTGGCGTAGAGTCACGCCTGTATATGCTCCAGGTGGCACTGCACCCTGGGCTCCGTTTCTGTGCGGGTCCTCCCTATTGTTGGGGTTGTCATGTTGCCATGATTCATCTAAATTTACAGAGTGGGAATTGGATCTCGCAAATATTAAGATAGCAATGAGCTCATTTAGGGCTGATTGACAAGAGCTTAGTAACCCACTTAGAGCGAATGACTGCTGGGTGAGAATGTTTCACTGGATATTAATTGACTTTCTTCAGAAAGACGAATCTCCGCTTGAGTTTTCCACGCTGGTTATTTTTTCCCGTTTATGGAAGGCGTGAATTGATTCTGAAAAAAGCCATACGTCATTCTCGAAATGCTTACTGAATCTCTGCAGTGATATTTGGGGCCTTGCACAACTGTGTTTCAACTATAGACGGGCTCTTTTTAAAGGCAGCAGGGACTTAGGAAGGAACTATGGAAAATATCCACTTTATTTGCCTTAGATATAACTGTTGCCCTTAAAATATCCCAGATGATTATGTTTATTATATTCTTTTGGTATTGGTTTGTGCGAAAGGGACAGAACATAGCAGTTTAATAGCTGGCAGCTTTTCAGTGATCTTGGTGGTGGATAGATTGCATGATTTGAAGTACAAATGGAGGCAACAGTTGCATAATTAAACTTTTTTCTGTTATTGCTATTAAAACTATGGTGTCTACTTCCTTGGTCATATTTTATTTTCCTCTCTTTTATATTAGCAATGACTCTAGGACAATTTTAGTTTAGTTTATCTTTATTTGTATGGCTGCCCATCTCACCAAGCAACTCTGGATGAGGAACAAAATTTAAAAAATAGAAGCAATTACAATACAAACATTAAAATGCATAGCAGCCAAGATTAAATCTCCCACCAAGAAACAGATCTGTAGTTTATGCCAGACTTTTTTCTGCTTTATTGCTTCCCTGTCAATCAGGGAATTCTTGTAATACTCTAAAATGGTTGGTTAATGAGCACATTAATGAGAGCTTGTTTGGCCCGTGATTAAGACACCAGACTTGAAACTGGGAGACTGTGAGATCTAGATCTGTATTAAGTCATGAAAGCCAGCTGTATGACTTTGCGCCGGTCATTCTTTCTCTGCCCAGTTCACCTCCCAGGGTTATTATGGGGAAAATAGGAGGAGGAAGGAGTATTAGGTATGTTCACTGCCTAGAATAAAAATAAAGGCAGGGGAAAAATTAAAAATAATTACATCTTCCAGTTTATTATCAATTGTGCACAGTGTTTAATCCAGGTTTATTGCTTACTGCGTTTTTCAAACCTGAAATGGTTGACATTTTGGATTTATACAAATGGACTTGTAACTGATGATAATTTTTAAGTATACCTCTTTTGGAAACTGTCAGCCAGGCAAGAGAGTGGGATCAAGCGGGGAATTACACTGGAGCCTGTGCACAGCTGCAAAAGACCTAGGACTGCCCCCCCCAAGGTCCATGGAACTTTATCTCAGTGGTTCTCAACCTGTGGGTCGGGACCCCATTTGGGGTCGATCGACCATTTCATGGGGGTCGCCAAGCAAGGCTGTCCGCCATTTTTTTTGTCAGCCATTTTTTTCCCCTTTTCTGGCGGGTGCCTTACCTCCCTTGGGCTGGGCCAGCTGGTGGTCGGCCTGCTCCGTCTCTGCCGCTTGCCAGCTACGCCTCGGCCGGCGCAAGGGGCGGAACCACGCATGCGCAGTGCTCCCAGGCAGGGAAAGTCCTCGACTTATGACCGGTTGGGTAGTCCTCGACTTACGACCGGTTTAGTCCTCGATGTACGACTGGTTTAGTCCTCGACTTATGACCGGTTTAGTCTTCAACTTACGACCGGTTGGGGTCGCGGCATTAAAAAGGTTGAGAACCACTGCTTTATCTCTTTGTTCTCAAGGAAGGGCAAGCAGTCTGGTGAGATTCTTGTATTATAGGCAGAATTACAATAAAGTAGTTAAGTTGAACCTTTCATGTGTGGATCTTTCATGTTGCTTGCACCTGACAATATCCTAAATTTCTGGAAATCTCAAATGGACAATAAGGAACAGGCAATAAGATAAACCATAAACTTAGTTTGGCAAACAGCAATTGAGCTATTCAGCTTCACATGCTGTACGGAGTTTAACATACTATATGGTCTATCTTTTTATAAATACCTAAAGTATTTATAAAAATACTTCTTGATTTACTTTTATATAATACTATTGAAATATTGATTTCACAAAAAGGTTAAACTTCAGAATTAGAAATGAAACCAGGGATGAAGAAATTGTATTTATCCACATAGATGGTGATTTATCTAAATAACAGCTGAGTGGTAATTGTTATCCTTTTGAAAATTACATGGATTGAATACTTTAAGAATATATTGTTTTATAGGTGAACCAAAGTCATAAGACAAAGAATGACTTCAGTATCAAATATTTATTATGTATCATATGAAGTAACTTGCAAAGATAAGTCCTTTAAAAAATAAATTATTAACTAAGATGTATTTACTAAGTCTTTATATTTTTTTTGTATTCTACTTTTTCTCTGTTTAAATATACCACGATAGCTAGGCTGCCAGATATTTTATTACACTGGCAACGGTCTAAACTTTCTTTTAAAATATATAATATGAGGAAAAGTGAAGCAATAAAATAAGTAGATTACATTCCCAGCACAAAATCTACTATTTGCAATTATTCTTAATGCATATCTGGCATTTTTACAGACCAGAGTAAAATTCCTAAACTACTGGTGGAACCATGCAAATATGAGCAGGAAGGTGTTAGGCTCTATTCAGCCCCCCATTAGTTATTTTAGACCTCACTGATTTGACTATCCCAGTCTCAGGATAAGGCAAATATGCATTATTGCTAGTATAGTGTCACGATAAACCTATATGTATTAGTATAGCCTATTGCAGTGATGGCGAACCTTTTAGAGACTGAGTGCCCAAACCGCAACCCAAAACCCACTTATTTATCGCAAAGTGCCAGGGCCGCATCAGCATTGTGATGCCCTCATGGGGGGGCAGGGAGGTGCCTCTGAGTGCTGCCTCTGGCACACAAAAACCGGGGACGCAAAAATGGGCCATCGTGCTGCAAGGCGCAAAAACGGCTGTGCCATCGGGTGCAGATACAAGGCGCTGCACCATGCAAGAACAGGGCAGGGTCAGTGAGTATCACGCAGGCACTAGCCCTGCCCCATTTGCAGCACGTGTGTGCTCGCAGCCCCATGCATGCATGTAAAATGCTTCCCCCTCCCTTTTCTTCCAGTCCACCAATTGACAATGGTTGGTGACCTCTGCTCTACCACCTCTACTCGAGCTTGCTAGTCGGTCGCTTCGCCTCCTTTGTGCTGGGCAGGGCTCCTGCTCCGGGCGGCAGTGCTGGCCTGATGCACCTGCTGCTGGCGGCGATGGCACGTGTGCCAACAGAGAGGGCTCTGAGTGCCGCCTCTGGCACGCGTGCCATAGGTTCGCCACCACTGGCCTATTGGCTTGAAAAATAAAAAGAATTGCAATCAAGAAGCTTAGTTTGATTTCTATCCCGCTTTGCTATATGTTCATGGCCCACATTTATTGTAATGGTAATAAAATATTTGTGCAGCAACAACTCAGAGAATGTATGCCCCATTCAGTTTCTGTAACTATTCATTTCCTCTCAGGCAGAGCCTTCACAACAGAGCTCCCTCATGACCAACAAGCATTCCTTTTCCAAGTCCACAACTTCTCTCAGATGTTCTAGAGATGAAGCATGAGAATGGAAAATTGGCAGACTCAAAGGGAGAATGTCATGTGGTCTTCAACATTAGTTCAAAACCCCTTTATAAATGTGGTTCGACTTCCAGCAAAAGTATCATTTCTCCGCGTCTGGCTTGGCAGACCGAGAAAGAGTGATGGGGAATAGAAAAATAACCTGATCCCTGGCCAATATCTGGAAAATGTTGACAAAAGGAGTTTCCACTCTTGTTTTATTGAAAAAATATTTCCCTTTTCCCCCTTCTATATAATCCATTTGCAAGGCATACAAATTATCAACTAAACTGTTAATTCAGGGCTCTTCAAACTTGGCAACTTTAAGACTTATGGGCTTCAACTCCCAGAATTCCTCAGCCATCCAGGACTGGCTGAGGAATTCTGGGAGTTGAAGTCCACAAGTCTTAAAGTTGCCAAGTTTGAAGACCCGTGTTAACTAATACAACATTGACCTTTTACTTAGTTTCTTAACTTTCATCTTTTAGACTAGTAACAGTTAAGTCCTTTCCAGTTAATTAAGGAAGACTTCATTATTTGCTCTAAAATAGGAGTTCATGAACACTAGGTGGCAACATTACAGAGCTGTACTGCAGTTGAATGTAAATATAGTAATTATTTGTTTATAAAGGAAGATCTGAAGAAAAGGGAACACAACCACTTTATTTTTGCAATATTTGTTTTGCTTCTTACAACATTTCTAACAATACATTTGAAGATTGCCCTTTGAAACAATGGTTTTACCAAGAATATTACCTGCTCCCAGATAACATTGTAGGTTTCAGATTCATCAATACACACGTGGTCTCTCTCTCTCTCTCTCTCTCTCTCTCTCTCTCTCTCACACACACACACACACACACACACACACACACTTAAATTTGTGTCAAACATTGCCCACCACTAGAAACACACTTAAATTTGAATTACTTTCCATTGATAAAAAATGTTAAGGTCTTTCAACTCTGAAGCACTCATAAGACCAAGGAGATGGTTGAATGTGAAGTAGGTAAAAACTAGGCAAACGCAGGAACAAAAATTAATAAAGAAAAAAAAGAGTGTATTTGCCCAAATATAGGATAAGCATTTACAGGAAATAATCTGATAAATATATGTGCACTATCCCTCATAGACACAACAATGACCAGGGTTTGGAGAATTATGGTATATTTCTGGCCATAACTTGCTAAGACCCAATGGCCTATGTTGCTAGCAGGAAACTAGGTAGACTACTGTTTTAAAGCTTATTTCTGAGTTTACTTCTCAGTTGTTTCTCGATAGAAGGATAGAAAATTGACAATTCTCCAATATGCTTATAAAACAAATCAACATTAATGGTCTTCTCAATTTTTAATGTACAGCTTTAACATACAAAAACAAAAAGACAAATGGGGAAAAAAATCCAAACATGCAAAAATAATAATAATAAACAGCTGTTTTAAAATATTGTACATTACATTTGACTGCAGAGCATAATTTTGATCAGTTTTTCCATTTTGTCTATGTTTCAAAATTAAAAAATTAAAAATATCAAAGATTGCAAATCTGGAGTGATGCAACTGTCCCTTCATTTTGTTGTTGAATTAATCCCTTCTTAAGAACAAAAAAACATACTGAATGCTGTATTTTTTTAAACTTTGGTTTGAAAAAGAAAAGGAAGTCTTTACTCCAAAGTTCTTGCAATACTTGATGTCTACCTTAAAATATTCAGTCACTCATACCTTGGTCAGTTCCCATTTGAACTACTGGAATGTGCTCTACATGGGGCTGCCCTTGAAGACTGTCCACAAGCTACAACTGGTCCAGAATCCACCGGCAAGCTGCACTAGCTCTCAGTTTCCTTCTAGAACCAATTCTGGGTGCTAATTATCACATTTAAAGCCCTAAATCAGACATGTCAAACTCATGACATCACGTGACGTCGCGCTACGTATCGGGATTGTTTTGCCATTGACGGCAATGGGGTGGGCACGGGTTCCGCGTGATGCGTCCGGCTCGGGAGCCAGCAGTTTGACACCCCTGCCCTAAATAGAACGGGATCAGGTTATTTGCAAGACTGCTTTTCCCTGAGAACATCTACCCCCATCCCACCAGATCACATAGGATAGGCATATTTTAGATCCCTTCCCTGAAATGCTGCCTTCTAGCAGAACCTAGGAGGTGTGGCTTTTCCAGGGCTGCTCCTACCTTGTGGAACATTTTCCCCTCATATAGCACTCGCAGGCTCCCTCTGAATTTGTTGTAGCTGAAGCCCATGAAGTTGCAGCCTGATCATGAATTTTGGTTGTTCTCTGCTGAAGGACAAAACCTGACCTTATTTTCCTAAGTTAGCTTGCTGCCTTATCACTATCACAAAATTGTTACATATCAGTTTGGAATTCAGCAAATTGTCATGGGGAAGTCTGGGTGCTGCATCATAGACTATGATTTGTAAAGCACAATGGTTGGATCCAGCAATCATTCTAAATTCAGACCAGACTTTTTCCAGCAAGCATGGAAAAGAATGGAAAAATAAAATAACCTTGAGATAAACAGAGCAAATATCTTTGCTCTTATGTTTGTAAGCCGCCCAGAATCACTGAGAGTGATTTTGGTGGCCATATAAATTTTAATAAATAAATAAAGTTATTGCTAAAATTCATTATCTCCACTGACCTTTTATAAATTTCATTTGCCATAACAATATATTGCAAATTAGGATGAAAATAACCATATTTAGTCTCACTGAGCATCAGTAAAACAGGTTATGGACTGGCTTTTTCTAAAACTGCATGGTTTCTGGCTTTGATTTTTGTGGGATATTTCATAAAGCATTTGATGGATTCCTCCAAGAATGCTAACATAACACTATCTTTGGCAAATTGGGTGACATCCAAGTTTGATAAACAAACACAAACAAAATGGCATCAAATTAAATTCTGAGCTAAGAAAATAGAGGAGCAGACCTTTTTACAGTATTTCATTTACGTGTTCTACTGTATAATCTAACCACTTGGAATTACTGAATTCTGACAACACTGACAGCCCATTGCAGTCTTATGCCAAAGACTATTGTCATCTTAGTGAGGATGTTCATCATTACATATGCATATGAAAAAGCAAATACTTTTTCCTCAGGATTACCCTAATAGCATTAAGAGATTATTTTTAAATTTTCATTGGAAGAAAATGCACTTAAATGAGATTACTTATTACTTGACTGGTTTCCTATTCTGCTGTTTTGTTTAGGTAAATGAAGTTCATAGGAATATTATTTTAAAAGCAAAACTGTCACCACCCAAGCCCTGATTTTATACATTAATGATTTCAAACAAAAGAGAAGTGTTATACTTGTGCATTGGTGCTTTTGAAAAAGTTAAGTCTGATACTCTGGTAACAGGCGATAACACTTTTTGTTCTTCAGGGTGTCCCTCCCTCCTCCATTAGTTGCTAATTACTTGGAAACAAATAAACAATTAACTCCTCTAGCCTCTTGGTGGGAGAATCTTCATTGACATGCTAAAACTTTCTAATAAAAGATTTTAATTAATGACGTGGCAAATCCAACCCCCTTGTTGCCAAAGCTATAAGAAAAGACCTGTAAGTAAAAGCTGAATTATGGCGTGTGGAGGTTGGCAAAAGAATGGCAGGCCGATCGTTTTATGCTCACAATGCAGCTTCTTATAATCATCAGAATAAATTCAGTCTTGGGGAAGGCAAAAACACTTTTTCGTTTTCCATTGAAAATATTTTGGGATTAGAGCGGGAAAAAGATGGCACTCCAGCTGCAAAACCCCACAGGCCATGGGTGGATAAAGGCAGTGATTTAGGTAAGATGGAAATTAAGATTCATTTCAATATTTTCTTCACCTTTTAACTGTGTTCCTTAGCTTTAAATTATATAAACCACATTTAAAAGTCAAACTGTAAAGAAAATCAGATTGTTGTGTTTCAGCTCTGTCTCTGAGTTTAAACTACTGTATAACTAACATGTTGCTAGTTATTGTGTTAAAAATGTTTGTGACTTTTCAGGAGAAGATTGTTTGCCCTGCCTGCATCTCTCTTCAATTTCCTGTGCACTCCCTTTGTATAATACAAGCAACTGCCGAAAAGCTGAAGAAAGAGTTTTGAAATGTGAAAACTATTTCCCAGTCAATGAAAGATTTTCTTACAAAAGGGAATTGAGTTGGTACAGAGGTAGGAGGCCAAGGACCGCATTCACTCAAATCCAGGTAGGGATTTAGCCCATTTAACCTATTCATGCAGCTAAGAATGGCTGTTTTGCTTCCTGCATTCTTTAATAAGGGGGCATTGATTAGAAAGAATCCAGAAATGCCTGTTTCACTAGAATCTGTACAATCATACATTTACTGAATAAAAAGATCCACAAATGTTATATCTAATCAGCATCCTGAGCTCAAAATAGCTTAATTGATTTCTATTGACTTGAAATATTTTAGAATCTTACCCAGATTTTTAATAAAAGGTTTGGCTTTATCATGAATGCTTAAAATATGTAAGTATTTTGGCAATGAAAACAAGTAAATAATAAGAGTTTTTGTCTATTCTCTTTAGATAGAAATACTGGAAAATGTTTTCAAAGTGAATTCTTATCCTGGCATTGATGTTAGAGAAGAGCTGGCTCAAAAATTAGATTTAGATGAAGACCGGATCCAGGTAACTTTACACTGTGCATTTGTATATTTATGCTTGTATTACTGGAATCTCAATTGTTACGTCTGCTTAGCAAGAGTCATAATAGATGGGAATAATAATAACGGCCAATATTCTGACCCTGACTGAAGAAGTTAACAATACTAGTTCGCTTTGAAATGTTGTATTTTTTTATTTTTAACCTTCTAATTCTACTTATGTTTGCAGTAATACCTAGATAATAAGGAAACACATTCCTTATACATCTCAGAAAAAACCTCTAATGCTAAGACCTAATAAGTAGGATCCATATGGAATAAGTTATGTATTTTTTTCTGAAGTATTTGGTTCACATATCACATTAACAGATGTTCTAAACAAACCACAATGGTTTCTTCTAAGTAACACATTAAGCCACAAATAAGCTACCAGTAACTAAACTTTGGCTTCATGCAGTGTATGAAGCCTAGAACACTGAGTGGGATTTGAGATGAGAGAGTTATAATTCAGTGATGGTTCCCTTCTGATGTCTTAGAGCAGAGGTCCCCAACCTTTTGGGCACCAGGGACTGGTTACGTGGAGAGAGGTTTTTCTGTGGACCAGAGGGGGTGGGTTGTGTGCTGCATCCTGTGTATAGGGCTTTGCTTGTTTATGCAGGCCGGTTGCTGGCATGCTGTGGCCCAGTACTGGTCCACGGACTGGGGATTGGGGACCCCTGTCTTAGAGTAAGGCTGGGAAGACTTTCTATATGAGTTAATAGGATCAAGTCTCACTCAGGCAGACAACTTTATTCTTTATAAGCAGCTTCTTGTATTTTTACCTGTTGGAATATTATTAACATTATAGTTTTAACCTCATTTACCAAAAGCTTCTTTTTAGGGCACTGTATTATTAAACATGTATTTTTTCTCTCAATTTTAGATCTGGTTCCAGAATCGCAGGGCAAAGCTGAAAAGATCCCATAGAGAATCACAGTTTCTAATGGTGAAAAATACTTTTTCTCAAACAATTATAAAATGAAAAGAAATGTATAGAATGCATCATTTTACTGTAGTACATGAATTCCTCATAAACCACAATGTGTTATCAGAGATTTATCCTGTTAAAATAGGTTTCAATGTTATTTTTTAGATGAGTGTAATGATTTTATTGTAAAAGTAAACAATAAATGCTATTGTTTCATGACTCATGTGATGAAAGCAGATTTCTCTAACTAGTTTAATAGGTATTTTCAGAAGGAAAGAAGACAAAACTCTGCTGTTTTTGTAGTTCACTGTCTTGATGATGTATCATTGAAAAATTATGAAAATTTCACAAACTTCAACACAGCATCATAGGAGGTTCTATATACTGATTTTCTCCATATCCGTGCCAGTGACCTCTAAAATGCAATGTATAGGAATCTGCAATGTATAGGAATCTGGAATGTATAGGAATCTGGAATGCAATGTATAGGAATCTGGAATGCAATCCAAAAAATTCATATGGAAAACTCATTATCCAAATTTCAGTACCTGCAGGGAATCTGCCAAGGCAGAATAATTCCTCAGCAGCAGCCATTCAGCTTCTACAAAGTTTGACCTGGAATTAAGGATCATTTCCTGCAGAATGCTTTCTATAACTGAGGAATAGTTGTGTTAATTGCATTATATTTTATACATACACACACACAAATATATGTGGGTGTATATATAAAATAGCCCACCTGGCATATACATTTTGGAAGTTGGTAAAAAAAAAAATGTACACAACTGATACAGGTGAACAAGTCGCAGAGTAAAATACTACAAAAAAAATTGTTAATGCTTAATTGATTTACTGTAGATTTATAATTTTGCTATATATTACTGAAAAGCTGGTTTCTACTTTCATAGATAGTTTGGGCAAACCATATTGTGGTTTGTTTCTTTTTTGGTAGCATGTGCTAGAACAGTTAATTTAATAAGCCACAATTAAAATGGTTTATTGCAAGGAATAAACCCAGTTTGCTCAGAAATTTGACTATGTGCCATCAAGTCAGTGTCAACTCTTAGTGATGACAGAAGGCAGACCTTCATCAGTATTATCAGTTATCAATTATCCCCAACCTAGTTCTTCAGATCCTCCAAGGCTGCATATTGTTGCTGTAATCAAGTCCATTTATCTTGTTGCTGGTTGTTTTCTTGTTTTCTGCCTCCCATCTTTCCTAGCATTATAGGCTTCTCCAGAGAGGTAGGCTTTCACATAGTGTATTAAAAATATTTGCGCCTTGAATGAGAACGCAGGTTTAATTTGTTAAATGAACCATTTGTTTGTTTTGGCTACCCCTGGTATCTTCAAGACTCTTTTCCAACACCAAAGTTCAAAAATGTCAATACTCTTTCTATCCTCCTCCTTCAAAGTTCAATTTTCACTTCCACAGAGTGAGCACAGGGAAAACCATTGTCTGTATAGTTTTGATAAATACTTCAGAACATCTGAATATCTTTTGCAACCCTTTCATTGCTATCCTACCTAATGCTAATCTGTGGTTTATTTTTTGATTGCTGGTTCCTTGATAGTTGATCCTAAAAGCCAAAAGTTACCCATCATTTGAACATCTTCATTGTCAGTTCTAAGACTAGTTGCTATATCACTGGTTTGGTCTTCTTTATATTTAATCATAGTTAAATATTTTTTTCACTTTGTCCCTTGACTTTCCAAGAATTGCCACTTTGTTATAATGGTTAAAATATTGGACTAGAAACCATGAATCTGTGAATTTTAGTTCTGCATTAGGCATGAAAACTACCCAAGTGATTTTGGGCCAGTTACTCTCCTTCAGCCCAATCCATCTCACAGGGTGGTTAATGTGGAGGAAATGGTAGGAGGAAACATTATGTGCACCACATTCAATTGTACAAAGTGCAGTAAAAGTGGAATATTAATAATAATAAATAACTGAAAGAATGCCCTCAGAGCATTTTGCTCTCCTGTGGTTCCCCACTTTAAACAATTCTGGAAAATTTCCTGCCCAATTACAGTGCAAATCTGCTAGCTAATATCTGAAGTCACATACCTTAAAGTGGAGACCTATTGTTTTCATGCGTTTGTTTCCATATTAAATATATATTCAACATCTCCAACCTGATATCCTCTGGATTTGGCCACATTGCAACTCCAAGAATTGCACAAGGCTGTAGACACTAGGTGTCATAATTGGGAAAGCTGCTATAAACATTTGGAGTCTCCATTATCAAAAGTTCATTTTTAGATACATTACCCATAATTTTGCATTTTGGAATGGGCAAGTTAATACTAGAATAAGAAATTATTGGATCAAGGACATTTGCTGTATAAGTTCAGCATTTAGCAAGGCTTTAATATTTTCCAAATCAGAAAAGTAGTTTCATCAGCCAATCAGAAGCATTTTAAAAACCTTGATTTAAGATTTACATAAACCAGAAACTTATTTAATTCAAAACTCTGATTCGTAAACTTGAGATGAAAATTCCCTGATTTTGGCTGTTCATTCAAAGCTAATCCTGTTTTTATGAGTTATGGTTTATGGTACCAGAGTGATTAAGTGCATTTGTTTGTTCTGCTAGGCTTATATGCCTAGCAGATGTATGTATATGTATTTACAACGCCACAAATTCATCATAATTGCTTTCTTTCAGGAAAAGAAGTTTGCTCAGTTTGCTAATTTTAACATATTTCCTGCTTTATTTTTAATTTCATAATGATGGATTTTTTCTGCAAGAAAATATTCATATATTTTAAGTATTTGCTTTAGGCCTATTTTTCTGTAAAATTACTGGATTTCCAAAAGGATGTCATTGTTTACGATCTGGGAAGAATCAGGCCATTCAATAAGTTGATTATTTTGAGCTGTATATCTTCTTTCTTTTCAATTTATTTTATTTCACTGAGGATTTGTTTTCCCTCAGCAGTTAACATTACTTTATTAAATAGATTAACATTAACATTAAAAATAGATTCAAGTAACTTCAGTGGTGCTTACTCCTAAATATGAATACATGCTAGCATTGTTTTTATTGTCCTGATAACAATGAAATCAAGGCTGTACCTGAAGCAATTTTTCCACCTTTCCTCTTTATGAGTTGCTTTGCCATTTCCATGCATTTGAATTGTTTATTCAGCACTTTCCTCACTAGATAAAGTATACATCTATCATACGTGTTGAAATGCAGTCCCACAAAATTCAGATGTTTGTCTCAGGTGATAAAAATAGTAATCTAGGGACTGGGTAGGGCACATATGTTCCATTATCCAGCATGTTGAGAAACAGACTACATAAGAGTAGACAAAATCAGAATAATCGGATAAAAATAGTTTTACTAGTGAAGTACTACGGTAAGTAATCACTTCAACAAAACTGGTGATGTAAGTTTAACTGAGACCTAAGTTGGCCTGATAAAGTTTTGTTATAATAGGGAATTTAATTGTAATTATTTTCCTTACTTGCATGGATAATACGGATGCTTTTATTTTAGTCTGAAACTCTCTGTTTATATTATGTGGTTGTTGTCATTTTTATTCTTTTCTTACTGTATTTTAATGGTATATTTGATTAGGAAATATTCATAGAACTTATAAACAATGGTCATACAAGCACAGTAACGATACGTTTTAGAAATCCATTGTACGTGGGAACAGAACATCATGCAAAAGGCTTAGCTAGAAATTTTATTCTCACAGTTCCATCTGAAATATGAAGAGGACCTCTATTTATCTATTGCTTATATGAAGTGGGGGTGTGAATCTACATTTTTCAATCTAAGTCAGACATAATAACCAGCAACCACATTTCTTCTTCTATTAAAATTGGGTGGATACAGGCAGGGTTTCCTGCCTGAGAAGGGGGTTGGACTAGAAGACCTCCAAGATCTCTTCCATTTTTTATTGTTACTACTACTACTACTACTACTACTACTACTACTACTACTACTACTACTGTTGTTGTTGTTGTTGTTGTTGTTGTTGTTGTTGTTATTATTATTATTATTATTATTATTATTATTATTATTATTATTATTATTATTATTTCCCCCTCTTGTGGCAAAGTATAGACTTGCAGGGTTTACACAAAGTCTTAAATCATGGCTTAATATTATGGAATACAGCAGAATATAATCTTGGTAGTTGGAAGGTTTACCATTTTGAAATGCAGAGTCTTCTCACACTTTCTTTTTGTCCTATCTGGTATAACACAAACACAAAGAATTGTCCAGCAGTTAGGATTGGATAGGACAGTAGCAAGTTGCCCTGGACCAGGCAATACCATCATCAGCAGGAGAAACATGTTGGCAGCTTTCTCTCCAAGCCCCCAACATCTCACATTTTTCCCTCTAAGCTATTAGGAAGTAGTTCCTGCTACAGAAGCACCTGAATCTTCAATGGAACCAATGAATCGATGAAAACCCCCAAACTGCCAATGTATTTCTGTGGAGGGCACCCTCGGTGCATTTCTATCTCCTTGTCTGGGCCCAGGTGCCAAGACTCCAAGACTCTGCTTTTCTTGCATTTCTCAGCAGAGGCCTTGTCAAATCAGACACACACAAGTGATTGACTCCAAGCTACTCAAATGCAACTGGGCTTCTCATGGTATGAACGTGCACCGTTTTAGAAGCTTTTTCATACACTTGTTTCATTTTATTTTAGGAGCCTCACTGGGTTGTGTTGCAGTTTATATACTTTCAAATAACATAAAACCTGTGTATCTTAGTAGGTTGACAAAGGAGATGGATTGTGAGGTACAATGTGGGAAGCATCTTAATTCTCCATCAATGGTGCAAGATCACATTTTCAAGAGCATATTGAAATGACCTGTCAACCTCCAGCTTGAGTATCCAAATAAAGTCCATGATTTCTTTCATTTCTTAAAATCTCAACAATACATGACATGATGTAGGCCAGGGGTCTTCAAACTTGGCCCTTTTATGACTTGTGGAGTTCAACTCCCAGAATTCCTCATCCAGGCACACTGGCTGGGAGTTGAAGTCCACAAGTCATAAAAGGGCCAAGTTTGAAGACCCCTG